CGCTGGCGGAGGCAAACATTTTCGCTTCCAATTTGGCGCCTGCGGCAGGTTGGAAGGTAAGAAGCCATTGAAGGCGACCTCCAAATGATTCAGTCTCTTCATTTTTTTCTGGAGGCGGCCACCAATTTTTAGAGGAAGCAAGAAAAAGAGAAAAACAGTATTATTGCCCAAAAAATATTATCGAAAAATATTATCTATGAAAATAAATTGAACAAAATACAAAATTTTTTTTTAAATTGATTTAAATACAAGTAAAAAAAAAAAAAAAAAAAGACTACCACCTTCACCAAGACTTTTTTTTCATTTCTTCAAATTTTGTAGATGTGTATTAACACGTTTTTGATAAGGTCCCACGCATTCTAACTTATTAATTTAAATGCCAGGTAAGCGTCTATGAATCTAATAAAACTTTTACTGTCTCCGTCTCCTAAAAAATTCACATATTGCAGTTTGCACTTATCGATAGATTTAAAAAATACACGTGGACTCTATAGCGCTTGCAGATCTTTTGCAATTAATTTTACAAATTTCTCCATTAGGCATAGGCTGTAGGGTTCTTTTTTCAAAGATCTTTTTTTTCAAAAAACAACCTGTGCAGCCTGTTGCACAGGTTGTTTTTTGAAAAAAAACAACCTGTGCAACAGGTTGATTTGGAGCCAATGTGAACCTGCACATTGGCTCCAAATCCAAAACTTTTCCAGTGTTCATTGATGATGCTAAAAATACACTGCGTCATTGTATGTGACATATTTTTTTATACCAGAATGTCCCAGTCTAAGTGCACGCATTGCGCATACTGTTCTACAATTATTAATCTTTGCTCTGTTACATTGCTTTGAAGTATCAAACTCATTTATATAATTGCAGTTAAAGCACTTGATAAGTAACTTAGAGGCAAGTCCTTTTTTGTCTTACATTTTTTCGGACAATGACATGGATGAACACTGGCCATATTGAGGACATGCTAAAGCACTAAATATGTTAGATGATATAAAGCAATCTACAATACTATATCCAGATATTTTCATTCTTATAAAAGCTCTGGATCACTCAATTGGCTTTACCTTCTTCGCAGATACAGATGTAGAAAATAAATTTAATTCATACTTTTTGTTTACAGAGTTATTATTGACAGTTGTAGCATTTGAATCAGTCAAAATTGTTACAACAGGATTATTATTTAACTTAATTTAAGTATTTTCTTTGTCGAGACGGTAAAATTTCTTTCCTAAGAAACCTCTCCTCTTTTTTTTAATTATTGTTATTGATTTTATTCTACAGGCTTTAATCGTTTGTTTTTTTTTTTAAATATTAGGAATATCTACAATTTTAAATGGTTCAGAGTAACAAAAATGTAATCTGACTTGATAAAACACTCCTTTTGTCGTTTTCTGGATAAGTAATGGTTCAAAGATTTATTCTAAAAAATAAATTATTAGAACAAAACGGTTAAAATACGTTTAGAAGAGAACAAGAAAAAATTAAATTTCATTTTGGTATTAGAAACGGCAATTTAACTCAACTTTTTCACAAATAGCCACTAGCAACCACTAATTTAGTAATGCCATCAAAAGCATATCCCCAAAAAAAGACAAATATTGTCTATACTCGAATAAAATCTCAAATTAATCAAGATCAACTTCTCAACATAAACAAACTAAATACTTCTTATTTTGAAATGGATAAAGACATTATTTTCCTTAAAAGATATGAATTATGTTTTTCTAATCAATTCTCAGTGTACATTTTAAATATTCGTAGTATTACTAAAAACTTCGACGAACTAAACGTCCTACTGGATAATCTTAACTTTAACTTAAGCTTAAGTTTTTAACAGAATACTGGATTTTAGATACAACATTTAATTAAAATTCTAACTTTATTTTGCCCAACTACAAAGCCATTAGTTTTGAACGTAAGTCTTCAAAAACAGGCGGTGTTATATGTGTCTAAGTGCTTGATAAATTTACTTATAAAATTAGAGATGCCCCGTCGTTCCCTGAGCCGGATTTTAAATCTTTCACTTTAGAAATTTACAATAAGTCAGCTAAAAATATTATTGTAAAAACTGCATACCGACCACCAAGCAAGTGTTTAAATAACTTAAAAAATCATTTAAGTGATTATTTTGAAATAGCATTTAAAAAAAATAAAGACTGCTCGTTTTTATTTGTTGGAGATTATAACGTTGACTATTTAAAACATGGTGAAAATAATAAAGTATAACCATTTTACGATCGCTTTAATGAGTTTGGAGTGATGCCTATAATAAAGAAATCAACAAAAATAACATAAAACTCTTGTCCTGTAATTGACAATATTTTCACACACTCTCTTACATTCCATTACATTTAAATCAGGCATCATTAGAAGTGACATAATCTACTATTCCCCAGTCTTTGCAATTTTCAAAAATTCGAAAGATATACTTACAAAAGACTGGTACTTCAAAAAAAAAAATCTTTACAACCCGGGCAAAAAATATGTTTAAACTAGAGCTATCGACCGTAAATTTGAAACCCTGTTTTTCTTGAGACATAAAAGTGCTAATAACAGGTACAACCTTTTCCTATATAAACTTTTCAATTTGAACGATAAGCATTTTCTCAATAAAACAAGCCGTATAAAAACTAAAGGACTTCTTAATCCTTGGTTTTAATCCAAGCAAAAACAAAAGCTATATATACGCTTTATTAAATCAAAGAAAGAACGAGGTAAGCATAATTACTTAGAGTAAAAACGTCTATATATAAGAACTAAAAAAATATCCAGAGCTACATGCTTCAAAAACAAGCTGTTAGAACTATAAGGTAACTAAAAGTAAACGTGAGATGGAACTATAGAAATTTTTGGAAAACAAAAAGTACACAGCACAATCTTACCAAGCGTGATTACTGAAGACGGCTCACAGATATCTGATGTAAAGTCGGTGACAACAAAGTTTAATGAGTTTTTCGTAAATATTGGTCCAAACTTAGCCAGCAAAGTTAACACACTCCTCCACCTTTTTTGAGCTATCTATCGAAGTCGGATAAAGCCTTAGAGTTTAGAAAACTCACTAATAAAGAATAATATGTTCTTGTTTTTATCATATTAGAACGTAAAAAATGTTAAAACAACTATTGTATTCGGTTGGGGTGTAAACTTTATATAAACATTACCTTTGATTTTTGAACTTTAAAACCTCTCTACTTTAATTTAGTGTAAATAAATAAAAAATAAAAGTTACCGATTTGTTGCCCTCACATTTAGAGTAGGGATGGTAAATAAATGTTTAAGGGGTATTTTTTTCCTGGCTCCAATCACTGTATGAAAAAATAAGGATTATATCTATATATTTCTAGATCTTTGTCTAAATCATTGCTTTACTACAGCTTGGGCTATACGTATATTACACAGTGATGTAGCAAAGTATTTTTTGTCAGTAGACATACGTCGCCAAGATGCCTGATTTTAAATCTCTGAAAAAGTAACTTTTCTAAAAAAATAACAAAAAAAAACAATTTAAATATATCTTAGGAATCCTGAACATTGCAGCTCTAGGTTCATTTGCTTTTGGAACCGTAAGTTTTGCTTATAATGGCCTTTTGTTATCTAGGCCACTGATACCACATGCAGATAAAGATATTTACGTAAAAAGTTCTAATATTTTCATGCCCTTATAAAAGTACCATAGTTGTTTAAACCAAGACTATTAGAGTCAAAGAGTAACCTTAAGCAGGTGGAATTTTTTGTAATCAAAGTGGCAAAAAATCTTTACAAAATAAAGTTTCTTCTTAAAAAGTTCGGGGCTCCTTAACCTTCAGGGCATGATGCTATTGCCCCTATTATTCAGGACAGGTTGTAAACTTTCTTTCTTTAGTTTTTAAGTAATAAGCATATTTACGTAAAAAATTTCAGCTTTGTCTAAATTTTATACATTTCGAATGGATGGTCAGAGAGTAAATATTTTTGAGACAAACTAAATGTTAGTGCTTTAAAGTTTTACTTTTTTGCATTACTTTTGTACAAGATCCTGTCAAAGTTATTGTAAAATATAAGTATATTTATTTACTAACTTTGTGTAAATTACTTTTATTTTACTTTACAATTTATATAAAATATTAGCTTATGTAATTTAAATTTTATTTTATATCAATTATCTTAAAATAGATTTATTATAATTTTTAATATAAAAAATTCCTACCTAAAAAATATTATTTTATTTCCAAATTTAATTTTTATTTAATAGCATATTACTTTTATGTAATTTACTTTAAAATGCAAGTTAGTTTTTAATATAGTTTTTTTATAATTAGTTACTTTTATAGGAAAATCTAAATTATAGTTAAAGGAACTTTTATAGTTTCTAATGTTTTTTCAAAAGTAATCAACTTTTAAATGTAAAAGTAAACGACTTTTTCTTGCGACTTACTTTTATTTTTAAATGTAAATAACTTTTTGATGAAATCTTTTTTTACATAAACTTACTTTATAAAGTAAAAGTCGTTTCAAAAATATTATTTACTTATTTGGAAATGTAAATTTACATAAAACGTTGAAAATTATTAGGTAGTTTACTTTTCATTGAAAGTTAACTTACTCGTGTATGTAAAAAAAAAGTAAGTTAAAAAGCCATCCTTAGTCGTAACAACATTAATTTTAATGTAAATAAAATAACATTGCAACTGCTTGTTTAAAAAATTAAGTTATTTATTTTGGCTTTATAAAACTTGCGGTTTTTAAACTACCTATTCGTTACTTGCCGTTTAAAATGTATTCACATGCATATAATAATACTTTATTGAAAACAAGCTATGAACAAATGCAATAATAAAACTAAAATTATTATATTTATAAAATAGTTTAGGAATGAAATTTTTTTCTATAAAATACAATTTTGAAAAAAAAAATTGTTTTTTTGAGTTGGTAAAAAAAGTTTTTTACAAAGAATGACTACTTACATTTTTTTAGAAATAAAAACTTTTTCAATGGAAAGTTTAGATACAGAAACATCTGGCGGATACAATGCGCATTTTTTACATGAACTTTCAGACGAATATGAATGTCCTGTATGCAAAATGGCTCTTTGTAAACCTCTCTTAACAGTGTGTGGTCACCGTTTTTGCTTGTCGTGCTCAGAAGAAATGAGAAAAAGGTATAATCTTGTTTTTGAGTTATGAAACTTGGTAAAGTAGCATGTAATATGAATTACATTTAGTCGTGTACATAAATACAAACATGCACACAATGTATGTATGTATATATATATATGTATGTATCCCGCCTTGAAAAAACTTAAGGGTCCCTAAAGGGACCCTTACAAAAATGTCCGCATGGATAATAAGGATCTCTTCAGGCTAGCCCTTAAGAGACCAAAAAAAAAATCACGCGTTACCACTCAAAAAATGAATAGTAAAGCGTAGTTGTTTTTTTTAAACTTATTTTTTTTTATAAAATATAACAATTATTTTTTAAATATATTTACTATTACAACTTATGTTACACAAACTGTTATATTTTACATATTATTTAAATAGCAATGCTATTTAAAATACAAGATATTATTGTTTATTTAAAGAGATGTTTCGCCTCTTTTATCGAGGAGCGTTAATACTTTCATCGTCCTCTTTACTTCTCTCGTCACTGTCTGTATCTTTCGTGTCAATCGAAACTACTGTTTCCTTACATCACAACAGCCGACCACCAGAGCAATCTCTGGCTTTATTGAAAAATCTTGAAACTTTATTGAGAAAGTGAACAGTTGAAGCTATAAACATAACATTATAAAATAATCACTATCATAACTATTATAACTAAATAAACAGTAATTATTATTAAAATTAATTTTTATTTATAAGACTGTTACATATAATCATATTGACAATATAAATATGCGTAGAAATATAAGTAAGTTGTTAATAACTATAGATTAACAACTTTCGTTACTTCATTTCATAGTTTCAAACAGTGATTGTAAGTCAAACGGGTTACTCACAAGACTTTTATTTAAAAAATCCATATATTTTTTATATCCAAATTATTCGAAGTAGCTCTAAATTTCACTCACTTTTAAGCAGATTTTACAGGTGATCAAAAAACTTTTGCCATATGTTTCGGGTCTGTTGATTTTTGCATGTTATATGTCAAAATCTTATTGAGCACTCTTAAATTATGGTCATGGGCAGTCAACCCTCCTTCAAGCATCATCCATGTCAGTTAAAAATGTTAAGAAATGCTTTATATAATTAATGGCTACTTAAATATTCAAAAGTTAATAAAAACACACCATATTCTAAGGGTGCCTTTCAACTTTATAATATTGCAGTACAAAATTGAAAATTGAGAACTGTATTTGGTTGATATTCAGATCAACAGGATCATTACAAAAACGTTCTTCCAACTCTCCCTGCCTTTGTTCAAGGCTTGTCAACTTAAATTGAATATAATTCAGTACCCAAAAAATGGACGCACTCATAAGAAAGTGACCTGTTATGAAAGAAAGTGCCTCTTATAAGAGATAATGAACTGTTACTAATGTTATTTAAAACAAATAATACTCCGATTTACCAAAAAAAAACATTGTAAAAAACAAATACTTAGCCTAAGCAATATAAAAAATTTAAACCGTGTGGACTAAATGGTTCACCATTTAGACAGTTGCAAATACCAAGCATGCTATCATGCATCTGTAATAAACTTGAATAAGCGGAATACCTGACTTAGCTAATTACAACATTTATCAATAATGACAATAATGTTTATATATATTTATATATATATATATATATATATATATATATATATATATATATATATATATATATATATATATATTCTCTATTTTTTTTATTTTTTGTATATATTTTCACTTACGGGGACATTAGCATTATCGGGGATATTTTAGTGTACCCGTTAATTTTTTATCCCCATAATTTTTTTTTTTTTTTGTAAAAAAATATACCTATAAGAAATTTTTATCGAGAATGAAAGGTACATACATCGACTATCAAATAGCCTGACTAGCAAGGAATTGCTGCTACATCGACCAAGGATTTTACGGCAACAAGGAGTTAAGGCAGTGTTTAGAATTGGTTATATTATTGTAATGAATCGGTTTTTTAAATAAATGAAGTTAAAAATGTAATATAATATAAAATAAATAAATAAAGTAACAAAAGTAAATATAGAAAATATATTTTTATAAAAAAATATTAAATTTAAATACGTATAAATAAAAATAGAAATAAAAAAAAAGTTAAAAAAATATATAAATATGATAAAAATAGTATAAAAAGTAAAAAAAACAACAGAACAGGAACAAAAAAAACATGTCCTTGAAAGTTGCGACAAGGATGCTCAACCCTCGGAATTAGGGTTGACATTCGGCAATGCCGACCTAACTGCCGACCTGAAAATGCTTAAAGTCAGCAAAAAATTGCCGATCTCGTTTCTATGTTTGATGGTCAAACCTTTGTATCAAATAATTTTTGTTGACCTGATGCTGACCTCAAAAGGATTGAAGTCGCCAAATTATTGCCGACCTCATTTTTCTTAATTCCGAGGGTTAGATGCTATATATATATATATATATATATATATATATATATATATATATATATATATATATATATATATATACATATATATATATATATATATATATATATATATATATATATATATATATATATATATATATATATATATATATATATATATATATATATTTGTATATATATAAAAATAAGTATTTTGCGGCATACATTTGACTGATTATCTGTTTATGGAATGCTTGAAAACTATTAGAAATTAAAAACATAATCACATGTATTTCGTGAAAGATATAGAAGTATTTTACAACTTAAAAAAAATTGCGGTTGCCTGGATAGATCAAGGTAATTGCAAACAAGAACTTTTGAAATATATATATCAATAACACAAAACAGAATTAAGAAGAAATAAAACTAGAACAAAGTAATATTAAATATATTTATTTTACCTTTAAGGTTTAGAAAACTAAAAGATAACATACATTATTTTGAAAACTTTTAATTATTGAAGAGCAACACTAAAACATTAAAAAGTTGTATCAAAAACTTATCATTTGAAAAGTTATAGCAGAATTATCTGTTTATAAAACTATATTACATACACTTAATGATGTTTGAATGTTTGTTTCTTTTGTAGTCTAAAAATGTGTAAAAATTACTAAACAAACTGTCTAAGCTGTTGCAATAAATAAAACATTACCAAAAATCGGTATCAAAATTTGAGTCTTCCAAAGCTGAATGAATTAAAAAAAAAAATGGATAATAAATTCTTTAAAAAAGTATATAACCATAAAAAACTAAACATAAAAAGATATAAACACATTTATAAACACAATTTTGCATTTTATATGAATATAAACCGGAAGCACTTGTTGTCTATTCAAGCCATGGATGGGTTGAAATAATTTTGTATAAAATATATTAATTGTTTTTTCATTTTCATTTCATAAACAAACTTTAAAGTTAATTTTAGAGCGTCATAACTTGTCACATACTGCAAAACTAAAACCTAATCAAATATTGTATTTATTAAACAACGCTATCAAGTTATGGTGATTTTTTCATATTATTTTTATTCATCACCATTAACTCTTTTACAATTTTTTTTTGTTTTAATTCTTCAGGATTCGATCCAACAACATCATAAGCATGATTAATTGATATTGATTTTTCAGATAAACAATAAATTAAAACAAATTTTCGATTGATGTAGTCCATCAGATGTTGATATTATTACTAAATTATGTAAAATCAGTAACAGTTTAAAATTATTACTAACTATTTTTGATTATACAATAAAAAAATTATTATACAATATTATACAATATACAATATTATACAATAAAGAAAACACTATATAGAAAAAAGATTATACAATAAAGAAAAAGACGCTTTAGATATGCATTTTTTGCCCTAAAATGAAATATTTACTGTAGTAATATATTAGTTACTAATATATTGCCACAGTCTAATTTTGATGCAAAATATTAAAACAATACTGGTTCTTTAACATACTTTTTTTTGACACAATTCAAATTATTTAAGTATTATTATATTTAAATATGACAACAAAAAATCAACTATGACATAAAAACAAAGTTATCATTACTTTAAAATGATTGACTTATTACACAGCCACTGAGAGTCAACCCTTGAATATAGCATTTGCAAGCGATATAATAATGTACTCATTGCCATTTTTAAAACAAACACATTTATTTACGATCTTTACATCAGTTTCAATAATATTAGACAGAGTATAGATACTTATACCAATTTAACTGGAAGAATAAGGATGAACAATTTTCACTATTTTTTTTTATCGCTAAACTAATTTTTTTAATAGTTGCAACGCCATGATTGAAAAAACCCCTACTTATAAAAACAACGTATTTATAATAATCATTCCGTAATATGTTTTTCTCAAACCTCTAAAAGTATAGAAAAATTTTAGATATAATCTAGTTTCATCAACAACAACAAAAAAACTATTTCAAGTAGCGGAAAGGCGCCTATGATGGCATAGCGCCTATGATGGCATACCAATCATATTTCCATAAAAATTGGTTTTGGTGAAAAAGTGATTAGACCTACGTGAATATATTGACTTTAGATTAGTTTTAGTAAAAACAAGTCCCTTTTGCACAAATATTATTTTTATAATCAAGAACAATTGATTTTGGGATGTGCTGTTGTAGTTTTATTCCCTTAATATGTTTAAGATTGTGATTTTATTATTAACTGTGCAGAATAGGAATTTGTATGCATTTTATATCCAATTTTTGTGCATTTAGTGGAATACTTACTTTAATTATATCTTTTGAACAAGGCAGACACAGCTTGTTTTAATGAAAATGATGACTTCTTCCAATGATGGCATACTGACGAGTTGGATGTGTTGCAATATTGACGAGTTGGAAAAACCTTTTTTTTTTATAAGAAAAACTTATTTTTAAGTAAAGTAAAAAGAAAGCAATGCTCTAAAATTTTTGTTTTGGTCATAAAACGCAATAAATCCTACTTTTATTATTGGTCTTCAGGATACTTAATAATGAAGCTTCAAAGTTAAGTATGCCATCATAGGCGCCTTACCCCTAGTTACTTTTTCATTTACTTAAAATAATGCCGGCATTTGATATCTCAATAAAAACATTTTTTTTCTCAGTTTGTATTGATTGGAATTTCAATCTTTCGTAGCTTTCCGTTTATTATTTCCAAAAACAAACAAAGTTGTATGAGAACTAGAATTGGGAAAGACGGGGAACATTCAACCACTTAGCTGGTTTTTATTAATTTACAACTGAGTTTTTGTCAGAAACAGTTACATTTTTTTAGCATTACAAGTAATAGTGTTAAACAAACAAATTAAAATGATAATGTATATAAATATTTATTTTTCTTAAATCTACCACTGTTTTAAATAAAAGCCTCAAAGTGGTGTAATGTTGCCCACCGCTGGGGTATCTTCAACCACCTAGAAGAGTTCTTTCGACCATATCATTATTAGCAAAATAATAAAGCTATAAGCTTTCTTTTTTTTAAAAAAATATATTGTGGAAAATAAAAATTTTCAACAATATATTTTAAAACAAATAGAAATTACTATTTTACAACAAGATTTGCGAAGTTATATTGAAATAATATTAACAATGCCGTTCTTTCTGGCTTTGCTAGAGACGCAGACTTTAAAAGCGTTTTTTTTTTCAGGTTAATAACTTTTCCTTTTTTTTTTAACCTTTTCCAATTTAAGTTTTTGATTCTTTACCTTTTCAGGAGTGTCTATCGTTGACTTTATTTCTTCTTTATATATTTTGTCTTTGAGATGCTTTAGACAAGGGCCGCACATGTTCTGGAACAAGTTTTTAATTGTTAGTTATTTTAGTTGTTGCAGGATGGAATGCGTTTCATTGGTACGTAAGAGTGGTAAATTATCTCCATTAGGGTTCTGATTTTGACGTATCTGGGCTTGAAATCAATTTGCGGCCTGTGGTTTATGCAGTGAATTATTAAAAATACTAATAATTTTTTGTTCAACCACAATTTCGTTTCTTTTATTTCTATCTGTTTTTGTTAGATATTATTGGGGCATCTTAAAGATAAGAAAAATAAATTACTGTGATATTTTCAAGCACCGGTCGAATGTTTCACAGGCAGGTAGGTCGAATGTACCTCACACGTTTTATATATAAACAAACGCTGTTCAAACTGATATAAATTTTTTTAAGTAAACTAAACGCGAATGTGTTTAACTCATGATATCATTAAACAATAAATAATAAAAAAATCGATTTTCTTTAAAATAAGTACTAATACTAATGAAGATAAATCGATTTTTATTTCCAGCGATAGTTTATTAACAGACAAAACATGCATAAAAGTTTTAAGTGGTAATTTTAATCATGCTGGGAAATATTTGAAAAGGTTAAATGCTCCCCAAGGTCGAATGTTCTTCGTCTTCCCCGACATGCTGTAAAACGAGGTAATTTTGCACTAATTTTGATAAAGAATGTTACTTAAACATTTGGAAAGAATATTGTTTTAACATTTCGATTAAAAAAAAAAAACTTTTTTCACTCTTTTTTTTTTTTTTTTTATTTTGATGCTAAAAGTTGTGGATAACTGGAGATATTTAACTATTAAATTAAATAAATAAAAAAATAAATATGAAAACAAATGGAGTAAAAAATAAAAAATTCACTGCATTTATCAAATCCAAGATTTTATGAAAATAATACTATAGCTAAAGTTACCCGGTAATGCGGTTACTTTAACATCTAATTTTAGTTTTAACATAGCTTATATATAAAATGTTATTATTTGTATTTAATTTAATTTTGATTAATACTTAGGTGTTGTTTCATTAGAAGAACATAAAATAACTAACTAGACTTAAAAAAGGATATTAAAAAGAAATATTTACAAAACTAATGCAACTTATAAAGCTATTAATGTAACGTCAATATATATTTTTTTTATGTTAATATTACTTTAATTGTGTTTAATTTATCACCATGACTTTTAAAACTTACTTACACATTTATTTTACGTCTATGGAAAAAAAGTTGGGAGTTTTCCGGATTATAAAACAGTTCTTATTTTAAATTATTTTAAATTGAAAATTCTTAGAAACATGTTTTAAATATTTTAAAAAATAAACTTTTTAAATTTGTGTGTGATGGCATTCTTAATTAAATTTCCACAAAACATTACAGAGAAAAATTGTTATTTCAGACTACGTTATTTAACCCGGCATAACAACTTTTTATGCCCAGGGTCATCATGCATATTGGTTTATCATAGCTTTAAGTTTTACTAGGTGGAAATCCTTCAAGCTAAAGTTTTAATTCCTTTTTAATTATTGCTCTAGTTAGAAAAACTAGACGTTTTTCTTTTAATGTTTGATGCAATATTATCGCTTCGTAATATTTAAAACCAGTTACATTGTTGGAAAAGATTTGAACTGTATACTGTATGATTTTAAAATTTTAAATGAGCAGCAATATCAACTTTAAATCAAGTTTATTCAATCTTTATTTACACATAACCGTTATTCTAATAGAAAATTAATGCTTCTCATCATGAGTGGAATTGGTTAGTGCACTAATGCACTATTTATACTTTGAAGTCGTTTTATTATGAATACGACTTCTTAGTATATTAAACCATTTTAAACTTTGACAATTAGGCATTTCTTTATAAAATGCTTTAACGAACTCTTTTAGATGAATGGTGTAACAAAAGTATTGAATATATGATTTCCAATATTATGTTTGTTATATTTACGAGTTGCTACACTTTACAAAATAAAAAATAAATATAAGTAACACAAACAAACTTTGCAGTTTGTAACTGTAAAATAAATATGCAAGTTTATAATTTTTTTCTAAACGTGATAAACTACAGTTTATAACTAGCAGTCACATTTTTCTTAAATTTTCAATCATTGAACACTAATTAACTTATCTATAGAGTTAAAAAAAGTATAAAGTTTTATAAGTTTGCAAAAACAACAACAACAAAAAAGCCACTCAGCTTAAAAATACGAAATCTTTTATATCATAAAATAAGTTGTTTAAGTAATACTTTTCATGTAAAGTAACATCTATATAGAACATACACAATGCATCAACATGTGTGTGATAATAACAAAAAATAGCACGATAATGATAGGAATACAATATTTTTATGATAAGATATGATACTAATGTATTTTATTTCATAAAATGTGAAAACACAACATATATTATAATTTAAAAAAAGCAGTAAGAGCAACCTTTATGCGCAAGTCACTTCAGAATCGATTATGTTATTTTTACGCTTTTAAACGTTAATTGATTTAACTTTATATTATAACTATACTTATGAAAGAATTAGTAAAAATAAAAGGTATCATTCAGTGTCTAAAAAAGATGTTAAATAAAAAGATATTATTCATTGTCTAAAAAATATGTTAAATTTAATTTTGATGTATAAATGTCTCAATTACAATGCATGTTATTGGAATATATTGTAGTTTGATGGTGATTGAACAATAGTCAATTATCCAAATTTATATCTCCAACAACCATATCTGAAAATATGTCTCTAATAATTTAATTGAATGCAAAAAAATTATTTGTTCGAAACGAAGTTTCCACAATCTTTGCCATCCATTAATTAATATAACAGAAAAAAGACTAATACATTTCTACTTTACTTGAAATATACACAATGGATAACTATATATACCAAGCTTTTAAACCTAGAAGTATGGAAAACATTCTACTTTTAATCAGTGCGTCTGTGAATGGAACAGAAGCCTTGTGTGCATTTTAAATGAGTCTAAAAACCTACACCCTAAAATGCCATAACTCTATCTTAAACAAAATCAATTTTGAAAAATTCTGAAAAATGTTATATTCTAACTTTATGACATTATCATCCTTTTTATTAAAATATTCTTTTAACTTTCTTTTTGTTAATACTACAATTATCACCAGCACTTATTGTTTGTTTACTTATTCGTATATTTTTTTAATATAAATTGCAAGTTATGATTATAAAATGCTTATTTTCAATGTATGTATTATGTTCTTTAATCTATACGTTTAATGCATACGGTCTATGTGTTTCAATGTATGTATTTGGATAATACTCCTTTTTCTATGTTTTAAAATAAGTTAAACGTATTTGATCTAATTTTTGTAAGAGTCATTCAATTAAATTATTAACATATTAATTTAAGTTATTTTATACTTATAACTTCTATTATAATTTTATTATTATTGATACAATTTTTTAAATGTAAATATTGTAAACATAGTTTTAACTACTATTACTATAATTTGTATTAACTTGTTATTTTATAATATTGTTTCATGTTATAGTTATTATTATTATTCAAAGTATTGTAAAAATAATGTCAAAGCTGAATGCTTTGTTTTGAAAAATAGCTGTATTATTTATATGACAAGCATAAAATAACAAACTTTTCATATTTAGAAATAATGGAGTTTTAAAATGCCCATTAGACAATAATATATTAAATTCTAAAGAGGTAATTTTATTTTTTTAAATTAGTTTTTATACTTGAAACTTATTAAATGGCTTTTTGTTTAACTCTTGTTTTGAAATTAATTTTGAATACTATATTAATAATGTTTTATTATATATTTTTTAAGAAAGAAACTTTAGTTACCATGTAATAAAATTGCTATTAGTTTGAATATTTATATTCTATCCTAGGATATTTCGGGGGTTGGCTATACACGAAATAAAATCTTCTTTTTCTTCTTGCCATCTGTTTTTTTTGTATAATTTCTATTGTATTTATATTTTTAATGGCAATTTAAAATATTGTATTTATATTTTTAATGGCAAAAGTAATTAATAATTTTAAAAGAAATAATAAATATTTTTGTTTATAAAAGTATGTAGCCTACTAATAAATAAAATATTTTTTCTATAGATATTTCTCGATAGAGCTATCGAAAGAGTTATTCTGGGTTTAAAAGTAAAATGTAATAACTTTTTAAAAAATTGTCATTGGACCGGAGAGCTAAGAACGATTAATGTAATTTATTTTATTGTGAAATATCTAATTTATTTATAACAGTATATATTATAATACTTTTTAGAAGCAAAAAATCAATTAATTACGATTTAGTATTTTTTACTAAAATTTTATTTCTTATTAAAATGTATATTAGTTTAAAGATTTATCTTGGTATTTTGCTTACATATTTTTAAAAAGATACAAAAATATATGTTAAATATATTTGGAGAAAAATGATAATTTAGCCGCATTTAAAAAACAAAAACTTTTAAAAATTAACTTTTTTTAAAATAATTTTAAAATATTATAATAATATATATTTTTTTAAGAATCACTTAACATCATGTGAATATCAAGAAAAAAAGTGCTTTAATTGTGCTACTTCACTTTTGCGCAAAGATATAAGTCTTCACATGAAAGTAAAATGCATTTATCGTTTGATTTTGTGTCAACACTGCAATCAAGAAATGCTATTTAGTGAGATGCAAGTAAAAGAACTTTTTTTTCAATTCTGTTAAAAATTACTTTTATTTAAAAAAAACTAGAAACTACTATTATTTCAATGTATATATATATATATATATATATATATATATATATATATATATATATATATATATATATATATATATATATATATATATATATATATATATATATATATATATATATACATATATATATATATATATATATATATATATATATATATATATATATATATATATATATATATATATATATATATATATGTATATATATATATATATATATATATATATATATATATATATATATATATATATATATATATATATATATATATATATATATATATATATATATATGTATATATATATATATATATATATATATATATATATATATATACATATATATATATATATATATATATATATATATATATATACATATATATATATATATATATATATATATATATATATATAAATATATATATATATATATATATATATATTAGGGTAGGTCGATTTTAATTCCGCATATTGCGTAATATTGCAGTAGTTGTAGACAGTTAAAATATGATTACTCTTAAAATTTGAGAGATTTTGGATGAAGAATTGCTTGCGGATTTAATTTTTAAGATTTGTTGGATTATGTAAAAAAACAACTTAAAAAGCGTTATATGCAAAACTTGACGTTTTAACTATATTCATATTTAAATGTTTTTCAATACTATTTGCTTTGCTGTATGATTTAAGTTTATAATAGTTTATAACAATTAAGCTAAATTTATTGCAACTTGTTAACTATTTGAAGATTTAAATAGTGAAACTTTTATTCTTATATTTACATAAGAATATCAAAATAAACATTGTTTTCACAATTTAAAACATTTTGGTTATGGATATATATATTTTAGGAAAATATTTTCAATTAAAAAATATCATCATAAGAATGGGAATAATGCCCTTTTAAAATATACGGTTTACGCATCTTCCTGCTTAGTAGTTTAGTTAAAATGCAGCTGTGTCGATTCTCGAATCCATAAACATATTGGGATGCGTTCGACAGAAGTTTTACCGCTCACTCAACACTCTGGGAATGAGATGGAAAGTGGGGGATTTCAGGTTTAACATTATTGTCAATCGCATATTGGATTTCCTCAACTGAAAAATGTTGTGTTGTTGGGAGCTCCGTAAATTTAGTAATGTTGATATCTTCCAACTTATACCAATGATTAGCATTAAAATTAATATCTGGAATTTTTTTTCCAAACTTTCGTTGTTTACTCTATAAATATAAATCAAATCCAATTACCACATTTAATGTATCATTTTTTTTCAAAACTTTATTTTAGTTTACTATAAAAAAATACCTTTGCTTTAGACCCAGTAGGATTTGAAAACAAAAGTTTCGTATCTTGCTGTCATTATCTTTTAACATGGCATAAAGAATATTTTCAGGTTTTAGGCACAATGCATTGTTTTTAATGTTTTTTTTAACAATATGTTTAACATCATCAAAGGGGAGATTATTTATTCTAGTGATAATAAAAAAAATAAGGCGCGGGGATTCGTGAAATTTTGAAGATTTTTTTATATCGAACTACGCTGGAGCGTAAACCTGAACAATAAAACATACAAGTTTTTTTTTAAGAAACAGTTGGTTGATTGTCTCTAATATACAAACAGAGAAGGCGAACAGCTAGACTTGCATGGTTAAGCGGTCCAGTATTTGTAGCAGTATTATCAAGAAGAACAGCTTGTATACTTTCCAAACTGTTAAGTTCTTGTAAAACACTAAACGTTTCGGTAGCAGAAGTTTAACTTAAGTTGTATTTTCCAATAGGATTATTTACTGGTTTCCATTCACCTTCATCCTAAAAAGAGTTAATAAAATAAAACGGTTTCTGTTTTATCTGTTACAAATATTTCATGTATTTATAAAATATTTACCTCCGTATTGGTCAAACCACTTGTTTCTTCAAGTAAGTTTACTTGTGCTATGAGGAATTCATCTTCATTAACTCGGTTATGAGATATTTTTTGTCGTTCTTTATCAAGTCAAGAAGAAAATTGATATGCACCTTTTGGACAAATTTTTTTCCTCTGATCACGAAGATAAGCTCTGTCTTCCAGAGGTACTTTATTACTTTGAGAACAAAGGCATACAATATGTTCTTTGATGCAATTTTCTTTATTACATGAAAATTTTCTGTCACTACAGGGAAACACATCTAATGAACAGGAACACGCAAAAATATCAAAAAGTTTGTCCAAGTTTGCATCAAGATTTCTTTTAGCGCTTGCTTTTCCGTGCTTGCGATCAACACCCTTAACAAGTACGAGAAGATCTTTAACTTTTCTATTAATAGATTTGTCAGTTATAAGAGGTAATCATGTGTTTACTGTAGCCCGAATTGATTTTATATTATTGCTAATTTGCTGAGTCACTAATACGATATCTGCATTTGGATTTATATGAATAAGATAGTAATAATACTGAATAACCTGTCTAAAAGTGCTTGGAATGTGTCGTTGATAGTTCACATGGGCCGCCACAATATTTTTTTTCATTTTTCATCCGTGTAATTGCAACCTTTACCTTCGGCATTTTTGTAGATTAATTATATATGAAAACTGTATTAAAGTATTTCACTTAGAGTAATGGGCAACAGCGTGAGTTTTTAGTGGGGGCCAAAGCATCAAAAAAACCTAAAATATCAAAACTTACTAATAAAAACCTGCTTTGATAAAAAATAAAGAAATAAAAACTCTTTTAAAAAGATTTGGGGGCCATGAATTCAGGAAACTCAGGAATTGAGTAAAACCATTAGTTCCATCGAAAAGTTTTATATTTTAATCTACTTCAGAAATTGCAAATCAAAACTTATGTAATATAAACAGTTTAAAACATTACTCTAGATATAATAATCATAAGTATTTACTTTTGATATTATAAGATTTCTTTAAATTGCAGTTTTATTTTTAAACCTACTTTTAAATAAATTTAACTTTAAAACTAACTTTAAAATACAAACAAGAAATTTAAATACAAAAAAGATTTGCTAAGTTTAAATGCGTGTAAACGATTGGCTTCTTAAAACAATTGCGCTTGTTTATTGATTACTTTATAAACTCAAAAGGAGATATTTTAAAACGAGATTACTTGACTTAAAATAAAATTTTGCAACGTTTGAAATAAACAATCTAACAAAACTAGTCCAAAATTAAGACTTAAAATGCAAATCCGCAAGCCATTCTTAAACCAGGATACTTGAGATTTGGTAAAACCTCATTTCTAACCTAGACACAGTAACTGTAACATTACGCAACTCAAAATTCAAAAAAAAAGCTAAAATCGACCTACCCTAATATATATATATATATATATATATATATATATATATATATATATATATATATATATATATATATATATATATATATATATATATATATGTATATATATATATATATATATATATATATATATATATATATATATATATATATATATATATATACATATATATATATATATATATATATATATATATATATATATATATATATATATATATATATATATATATATATATATATATATATATATATATATATATATATATATATATATATATATATATATATATATATATATATATATATATATATATATATATATATATATATATATATATAGTTACAGTTAGTACTATTATATAAATAGTTGGCATAATTGAAAAAGTCCCTTTATTGGAATACTCGCTAAAAAAGAATTATAACTAAATATTGTTTTTTCAGTAAAACGTCTTACTTTCACATTTTGAAAGGTATTCCTCAAAAAATGCAAGTGCACCATTCATTTAAAATTTTTTTGCCTGAATTTTTTTTCAACGATCTAATTTTATGTTCACGCTATATTGATTGGGCCTGGTAAACTATACTGCTATAGATTATACAGATTTTTGTGTTTAGTTATATGGGACTTAAAATGTAAATATAATATAATACAATACAAACTTATTTTATAAATTTCTCTAAGCATAAAATTATAGTGATAAAACAAAATATTGCAAAGTTTTCTTGATTAGAACTATAACTTCTTCCTTACTTAATTAATTATTAAACAAAGGGATGTAGAAATAGTTCTGACATTATTTAAAAATACTAAATATCAATCATAAACCTTAAAAATAATACTTTATTTTTGTGATTTTTAATCAATAAATTAGGAGAATGTGATGACAGTTAAAGCACTGAATACACTTTTTTATTTAAAAATTTTCAATTTATCAGGGTAAAAGTAATCCTATTATAAATTTGGATGAACTGTTTAAATTTTTACTGTAATAATAAAATTTATTTTAAATCAGTTTTTGTTGATTTAACTGTTTCTTTTTTTTTAAAACAACTTATTTTTTTAAACAACTTGTTCTGATTAAGGAATTAAAGCGTTCCAGTTTAGGAAACCAGTTGCCAAGATTGGAACAGAATGCTATTTTTGTAAAAGTAAACTTTTTTTTCTAATAACAGTTCAATTAATTAAGTCAAATTTTGAGTAAAAGTTTAGTAGGTTTGTCTGTTTGTATTATTCAAATCATAATACAAACAGACAATCATATATATATATATATATATATATATATATATATATATATATATATATATATATATATATAATATATATATATATATATATATATATATATATATAATCTTTTTAACTGAGTAATGTTATATATTTAAGGTGGTTGTTATTAATTATTATAAAAATATTATAAGTATTTAATAAAAAAACAAAAAACAAATAGTAGTTTGAAAATAAATTTTTTACATATCAGAACTCATAAATAAATCAAATTGAAAAAATTATAAGGCCTGTAGGCTAATATATAACGATAAAATGAAATAATCCATCATAAAAACCCTTTCATTACTTTGAAACACATATGATGCAAGATTTGCAATAAATAAGTATATACAAAACTAATAAAAGA